GTATAGATTTAATCTAAAAGATCTAATTTAATATTATAATTTTTTATAATTTAATTATCCAGATGTATTTTGGAGAGTTCAACTATAATCTGGATGATTTGATTTAATATTAATTTTTTTATTATTTTTACATATTATATAAATATATTATAGACAGTCCTAATTTAATATTAGAATTTTTTTAATTTTTATATTCATAAATATAATATTTAAAATATTTAAAAATTAATTTAAAATGAACAGTTAAGATCATTTTAAAATGAAATCAAAACTTTTAATTTACCCGCGTAATGATGAGTGCTCGATGCTCATCACGGTGATGAACATCAAATGTGAACGCATGAAATAACTCTCTCTCCCCCCTCTACTCACACGCAACCTAGCTTTCTCCACACGAAAGAGAGAACACGCACACAAAGCTGCACACCCGCCCCTGTCCACCGGACTTGATCTTGCAATAGAGGTGTAAGTGATGCCGTCAGGCTTTGGCAAGAAAAAAAATCGTATCTGCCAACAAATTTGCAAGTCTGTGTAAATTTTGTTTTGATAACAACCATTGCAATGGGACCTGTTGATTTTTTAAATTGTTCTTTTTTATTTTCATTTGAACTGTGGAATTATTTTTAGAAAAAATAATAATAAAATTTTTTTAAAATATATAAATAATAATTTAGTTTCTTAAAATGTCATAATTCTCCTAGAGACTTTTCATCATTAATGAATTTATATAAATTATCAAATTGTCCTCGTTGAAAATAAATGATCCACAATTTTTTTCTTATTTTGCAACTTTTCTTCTTATATTCGCAACAATACAACAACAAATAAATATGTGAAATTGTGATTTGCTATTGCATTATTGCGACTATAAAAAAAAGTTATGAATCATTTATTTTTAACAAGAAAAATATGATAATTTACATAAATTCATTAATGACAGAAAAATTCCTAAAATTTTCAGAAAAATTATGACATTTAAAGGAACTAATTTATCATTTATATATTTTAAAGGAATTTATTATCATTTTTCCTTATTTTTATACTCTTTAATTAATACATTCATTTGACCTTTTTTTCAAAAAATATTTGTTTGCAAGTTTTTGTTATAAAACCCCTTTTTAATAACAGTTCTAAAAGCCTTCTCATGTACTTGTGCGTGCAAATAAATAGCGCTTGCTGATAACATTTTTATTGTATGTTTGGATACTTAAAATGAATTAATTTTGAAGTTAAAGCTATAATTTTGTAAAAATATACACCAGAACATCTATTTAGGGTAAACTATTTGTCGGTGCTTATATTTTTCCTTGATTTTTGATTGGGTACCTACACTTTTTTAATTTTTTATTCACTCCTTCAACTTTTATTGGTTAGCTAATGGTCCCTGTGAAATAAAAAGTACATTGAAGGGAAAGTGGAAGAGATAACAGCATTAAATTTGAAAAAGTGGAAGAGGGATCTCCATGCGAGTTGCTTCACAGAGGAAAGAAGGCTTCAATCTTCAATTGTCTAAACAATTGTGGATCAAGGCGATTAGGAATTTTGCAAAGCGGTGTTCGTGTGATTTAAATCTATCTTCGTCCACTCGCCAAAAATCTTCGTGCGATAGGGTGATCTTTGTTTACCAGAAAGTGCAGCGCAACAATCTCCATCAATTTGAACGGGTCAGCTTTGTCTCTTTGATTTTCTGGTTTAAGGATGCATCGCAGGCAAGCTACGACAAACTAGTTATTATATGCAACGTGCATTCGTCCAATTATGTTGGTGAGCTTCAATTAAATCGAAATCGTCTCTCATGAATGCACTTTGTTCGTTCGACTTGTTTTTTTAGCCTTTTCTCTCACTGCCTATCTGTCCCTTGTAAATTCTTTGCTGCTTCGGTGCTTCCAGACACCACAACTCCTTCCGTATAAAAACTCCAAGGTTAGGTTCTAATATACTGCTACATCCGAAGGTTCAATCTTAAATGGTCTCTGGGATCTAATAAAACGCTTGGTTTTAGGATAGAGAAATAGTGTATATTGTAGACTGATCGAAGTCGAGACTCAATGGAATAAAGAATGAGTTTGAAATATCACATGTGTCTTTAATGTTTCCTTAACGTTTTGGATTTATCGCTAGCCTGTGTATCCCTCAATCATTTTTCAATCCATAAGGGCTGACAAAGCTCGTAGGGGAAAGATAAAAGGAGTGAACAAAGAAAAAAAAAAAAGTATAGGTACCTAATCAAAAACCAAGGAAAACTATGAGCACCGACAGCATGGTTTTTTCCTAAAATTAATTATGAACTGAAAATTATAATTTTTTAAAACATATTCAGACACTTTAAGGTTAATTATAAAGTCAAAATTATAGTTTTTTTAAAAATATTATAATAACTTCATACATGCCAAAATTAATTATAAATACAAAATTATAATTTATAAAATAAAGTTTAGGTGATTTTTAGATGAATTGTAGGAGAGCTGAATTTAAAAGCATGTGATAGTTGCTCATGGGATAACTATGTTTTTGAGTTTATAATTTACTTTTACATGTATGGTGGATTGGTGGTGTTTGGATTTTTTTTTAAATAATAATTCTGAGTTCGTAATTAATTTTAACATGCAACAGGTGTATTGAGATCAAAGTTGTCAAATTCATGAGTTTAACTAGACTTATTATGAGGATGTAAGCTTAAATTATGAGCTCAAAAAAGTTTTCTACCATAGATAAATAGCAATTAAAAGTGTATGATTAAATAATTAAAATATAAAATATGATCATAATTTGATTTAAATATATCTCAAATTTAAACTATTAAATTAAATCTATCTATATTGATAGATTATCACACTCAATGTAGAAATTTCAAAACAAGACAACTAGCTTATCTTTGATAATTATTGCTATCTTTTTTATTAATATTAGTTTTTACTTCTTGAGTTTTAGTGCTCTTTGAATTGAATCTTGCCATTTTCTACGAACAAATTTTATACATTGTATACTTAACTTGCTCAACTTAATAAAAGATCGACAAGTTAAAAAGTTTAATTAAATTTACATCTAATCCAAATTTAAGAGCGAGTTGACAATATTTTATAAGTTAAAAGCATAAAAACAATGATATTGGTTTAACTAAGTTTGAATTTACAAATAAGTTGACATAATTTTGTAAACTATAAGTGTAAAAATGGTAAAATCAGATGCTCAACTTGTGAGTTTGAAAGCTATTGATGAGATATTGAATCATAATTTTGAGTTTATAATTAATTTTAGCATGTGATAAGGGCATTTAAATGTGTTTTTGCAAAATCCTAATTTTGCCTGATTTTCAATTTTGTTTCTTGATTGTACTTAAAAGTAATTTTATTAACTAGCTTTATAAATCAATTGTAATGTATAGCACAATCAATTATATTAAAAAACAATTATATTAATAACTTTATCTAACCTAAGATAGCAAGTGGCCAAGGTCATGTTTAATTTGTTGGAAAAATTTAAAAGAGTTAAATCTTTATATCTCAATTCATATAAACAAGTAAAGTGATGCATGCGTACCTGAAGAATCATGAGTGCTTGAGAAATCTCAATTACCTCGAGTATAGATAGGTACACAACTCACAAAGTCCCAGAGCCTTTAGAGAGTTCAGAGATAATAGAGTAGAAGAAATGAGTCGTGTCTCTGCGGTTATCAACTGATTCACTTATATATAGATTAGATTGGTAACTGCCTTATTAAATAATAAATAATTATATATCCTATTATCTCAGACTCACTCAGTTAAGAGATAGAGAATAACTGACGACTACTGGGTTGTGAGTTGGGCCTCTGTCCATTGGGCTCACTTGTGTGGTCTTCCTATCACGGTCCACACAAGATTATAAAGACCAATCTATTTGGACTTATTAATTAATGTTAATTCATAATTAAATAAATATTCTAACAAAAAGGAGTAGGGATATGAAAAGAAATTAGAATAAAATAATAAAATGAGTCTTAAAAATATATTTGTTACAAGAAGACAAAAATACATCTTGATTATTTTAAAATCAGGACAAAAATACAACGTGGTCTTCTAATTCTACATAAAATTTTTTTTGGCATTTTAATTTTATAAATTATTTTTAATTATTTTTATTGTTTATAAATATTTTTTATTGATTGCACATGCTACGATTGAATATTGAATATAAACACAGAGATTTGAATCTGATTCACCATGTTACGAGTTATTAATCCTTTAGTTAAACTAATCCCATTGATATTTTTTAATTTTAATATGATTAGTTACGCATCATACTTTTCTGGCAATCTATTTTAAAAAAATTAAGAATGAGAGGATTGAAAAATAATTTTAAAAAGAAAAAATTATATATGGATTTTATGGAGCAAACTTTTTTATAAATTAGTCTCATGAAATTTAAAAATTACAACTAGATTTTTTGAAATCTGTGTGTAATTTGAAAATGAGATAACAAAACAATAATGTTCATATTGAATATATATGCATTACATCAATCAAATAACTTACAGTTATTTTATCAATAATTTACAATTATAATTTTAATTTTTTACAAATGTAACTTCATATATTCAATAATTTAGTTGATCATTTTAATTATTGAATACGTAAAGTTACAGTTATAAAAATTTAAAGTTATCATTGTAAATTATCTATGAAATAGTTGTAAATAATTAATGTTAAATTTTATTAGTAACACATGATTGTTTAATTATTGAATACATGAAATTACAGTTATAAAAAAAATTAAAATTATAGTTATAAATTACTGATGAAGTAGTTATAAATTAATTCTTTAATTAATAATTTATATTTAATAAGGATATTATTGTCCTTAGAGTTAATTTTAAATTACACCCCAATCCTAAGGGATCTTACAGTGATTTTCAAACTTTGGGGGACTTATGGATAAATTAATCTGTTTCATGATATCTATACATAATTTTTCCTTTAAAAAATAAAGGTGATGAAATAAAAATCAGTGCGAGGTTAAAATCCTCAAAAGTAATTGTAAGTTTGTAACCCCGAGAAAACGCAATCTTGTGGTGGCGGATGCATTTTTCCTTCGTCGACGAACTGGCGTTCTTCACTCCGTCGGACGCCGTCCACCGCTGTCAGCCTGCGGGGTTGTTCACAGGGAAGTAGTGAAGAAGGTTCGAACTCTAGGGCTTCCCCAGAACTCGGTGAGATTGATATTTTCGATCTGGCTTTGAATTTGTTCCTCACATCGTCTGCTCCCTGCGTGGTTGTTCTTGCTTTATTTTAATTTGTTCAGTTTAATTCGGCTTTGAATATGGTCGTGCAATCGTTTGAATGTTGACGCTTTTGAATTTGGGAATATTTACAGATTGAGTTTAATTTCTTTTCTTTTTTGTCCTAGTTCTTGCTTGAATGGTGTGTAATTGGCTACTATACTTCTGCCCTCTTCATTTTGATTACTAGCGACCTGTATGCCTTAGATTTTGTTGTTTTGCAATGTTGGATTTGTTGCGCATTGGCATTCTGTTTATTGATCTCTTTATATTATCATCAGTTTGGAAAATTCTCAAGGTATTTGTGACGTATGATCTCGTAAATGACTAAGCTTGAGCTGTGTCAAAGTATCTGGGGCAAAGCATTAAAAAGTTATTATATCAACTATGCATATTTCACAGATTTCAGTGGGGGCAGCAGATGCCCTCACTGAGTGTAATATAGGTCCCCCTATGATGCTTGTTGAATGTCCATTATGTTGGTTGCAATGCATCCTCACTTTCGTTTTCTCACTGACAATAACACGCTGGTCGCTGGGAGCCAATTTGGATTTAACTATCATCAGAAAAGTAATTCCACATGAAGTCAAATTGCGTGTTTGTTGTCTTGATTCGACATTCATTTCACTGCATTTTATGAAATGCATGTTAATTTCCTGCTAATTTAAATTATGCACAGAGCCATGCCTTTACTTGGGGTTACACCTACTTGTTTTTGCAGATTCAATGAGATTTATCTCTTAAAATATGATTACAAGAAGCTTTGCTGATGGCATAACGAAACCGAGTTTCCTACTAACACAGACAAAAATGCCAATTCTAACATTTTGCCATTCTAAGTTTAGTTCTTCATTAACTCTACAGTTGCCTTGTAACTGCATGAGAAGAATGGGTTTGATTACGCAATTTAAATGTTCTGTTGCTAATAGAACATTGACGTCTAGTTCTGTGGCTTCACCTACATCCAAACCAGGCTCCATTGGCTTGAACAGGAAACAAGGGCGTTCATCCTCATTATATAGTCGTCCTAGTTTATCAGAAATGAACAAAGAGAGGATGGCAAACCGTGAGAAGGTTTACGCATTCTTGCGGGGGATTGGTATTGTCCCTGATGAGCTTGATGGTCTGGAACTTCCTGTGACAGTTGAAGTCATGAGGGAACGAGTAGACTTTCTTCACAATTTAGGGCTTACAATTGAAGACATCAATAATTATCCATTAGTTCTTGGCTGCAGTGTCAAAAAGAATATGATTCCTGTGCTTGATTACCTTGGTAAATTGGGAGTCAGGAAATCTACTTTCACACAATTCTTGCGGAGATATCCACAAGTTCTTCATGCTAGTGTTGTTGTTGACCTTGAACCAGTGGTTAAGTATCTTGAGGGGATCGATATCAAGCCCAATGATATTCCCCGGGTTCTCGAGACATATCCAGAAGTGCTAGGATTCAAGCTTGAGGGAACCATGAGCACATCAGTTGCTTATTTGGTTGGTATTGGTGTTGGAAGAAGAGAAATTGGAGGGGTTCTAACACGATACCCTGAGATTTTGGGAATGCGAGTTGGCCGAGTAATCAAGCCTTTTGTGGAGTACCTGGAAAGCTTGGGAATTCCAAGATTAGCCATTGCAAGAATAATAGAGAAACGACCTTATATTCTTGGCTTTGGATTGGCTGAGAAGGTGAAGCCAAATGTTGAAGCTCTTGAAGCGTTCAATATTAGAAGAGCATATCTGCCCTCTGTAATCGCACAGTTTCCTGATATCATGGGAATGGACTTGAAGCCAAGGCTAGAGAATCAAAGCAATTTACTCAAATCTTTACTTGATTTGGATTCTCAAGATTTTGGTAGAGTTGTTGAGAAGATGCCACAGGTGATCAGCCTCAGTAGTTCACCTATGCTGAAGCATCTTACTTTACTCAAGGATTGTGGGTTTTCCTTGCAACAAATGAAGAAGATGATTGTTGGTTGCCCTCAACTTCTCGCTTTAAACATTGACATCATGAAACTTAGCTTTGATTACTTTCAAAAGGAGATGGGGAGGCCTTTAGAAGACTTGGTTGCTTTCCCAGCCTTTTTTACATATGGTCTGGAGTCAACTGTAAAACCTAGGCATAAGATGGTTGCCAAGAAGGGAGTGAAGTGTTCCCTCGCATGGATGCTTTGTTGCTCAGATGACAAATTTGAGCAACGAATGGATTATGACACTATTGACATGGACGAAATGGAAACGGGACCATCATTTGACATGAATGCACTGATGGAACCAAGGAGTGATGAGTCAGCTTCTGATTACGATGACACTGATGATGATGATGATGAAGAATAGAGTAGCCAGATTTCTTCCCACCGTGAGGATTTTGTGCTCTCCTAGGAGGATCTTTGTATAAAAGAGTATGAATGTTATACTTCTGTAAAGGTGAATTTCTACCTCAGAAGCAATTGAGAGTTAAATCGTAATTTTTATTCTTGTCATTTATGCGGTGCGGTATTGGATCTAGTTCTTCGATCCTTTTAGCTTCCAGTTCCTATTCGTACCCATTATTATATAGACAGAGACGTCGTCTTTCATGTCAGAATTTATGCGGTGCGGTGTTGGATCCAAGTGATTGAACGTAGAAAGAAAGAAAACTCCGAAATATTTATTAGACACTAGTATTTCACATGCTTGAGTTAATGTTTGCCAACATGACATGAAAGATGACCAGTGACGCGAGAGGCACCTTAAAGGCATGCATGGAAAATACATTGATATGAATTATTGTTGAATCCGACCAAAAACATGTATTGTTTCAAAACCTGTTGGAGTGAATGCCGCTTGTCCAAATCACTTATATATAAATTATAGGGGGACATTTAGGGTTGCATATTTATGTGAAGTAACGTACGCAAGGCAGCCTGCGTACAACGGAAAGAAGCAGCTAGTTGTTAGTGTTATTTTATTGTATTTATATTTATAGATATGCCGATCGGGTCACAGAAATTTGCTTATCTTAAAATTGGAAACTAAAGCCACGAAACTGTCGTCAGTCACAGCTCTCAGTGATCGTGGCTAAATTATGAATTATAATGGCCCGCCAAAAGCACGCAATGCAATCCGATTTTTTTCCTCACAAATCCAATCCGACTTCGTTAACTCCTCTACTCCAAGCTAGCGAGTAATTATCCTTGGTTCTTACATCAAATATTGCCCCGATATTCTGTTTATCCTATCTGTTACTTCTTTTTAAGTGTCTTAGAGTACTGCAAGCCTGCGACACATAATTAAAGAGAACCTATGAAGAAGCACATTGTGCTTTGTTCTATTCACTGTCTCATTTCATATCAAAATCCGTTACAAGTAGCTTTTAGCCTAACTGAGATCTCGAATCAAAGCTACGAACTAGTTGATGTTTAAGACCTATGCAACAACTATACAAATCATTCCTCTTTGTTTTCTTTCTATTCTTTCAGTCAGCGAAGGATTAAGTGTGTGAAAAAGCGGTGAAGGGGGAAAACAAACTGGGTGATGGCTGATGAATCTGGCCACTTCAATCATCTTCAAAGTCAGTGAGGTATTTAAGAGTAAATTTTATCCTTGAGTTTTCCGTTGCTGTCACCTTATCAAGAGTGTGCCATGGCTTCTATGCTCCTTCCACCTGTGTCACTCATTCACTTTCAATGTGTTCTTGTCTTATTCCCAATGCCAAATGTCTTGAACTAAATTTGGAGTGGCTCTAGCTAGCATTTGTCAGGATGTCATCTGTGAACACGGCATTCTTATAGGCGAAAAAACTACTGTGAGCCGAGCATGGTCCGAAAGGCTGTAATCTTCTGGCCATCTACCTTTCTCCACCTCGGGAGGAAATAGTACTGCATTTTTTACACTGAAACCAACGGTTTGCTCCCTTTGGCCATCGGAGACATCCTTGTGCTCTTCATTCCTGTATTCGTTCCCCTCATCTGACTCTGGCTTCCAGAGTTGCTCCTACAACCCCATAACATAACAACCATGAAATCTCAGACAAAGATTCAGACTACAAAGAAAATGACACCAGTTAAAAAGTGCTACAGCCACTGTGGTTGTCATGACCACAGGAGAGAAAGGGCTGTCATGACCATGCAGATAAATTGTTTATGTAGCACTAACATGTTCAACCACTCACACCTAGTTCTGGAGAATTGAAATAGTGGTTTCACATATGATAGAACACAAGCGAGACATAGTAAACATGCAACAATGAAAAAAATAGTGGTTATTTAAATCTGAATACTATTGTGCTTTGGTGCAGAAAAAATACTCCAAATACTTTATGCTGAGGGTTGATATTCAGGGAACTGCCTTACCAGAAATTCTTTATAATCCAGAACACCGTTTCCATCTATATCTGCTTGGGACCACAAGTCCGTTGTCTCTTCATCACTCAGCCCATGGCAATGACCAAATAAATTAAGCTGCAGAGAATGAAGAAAAAATTTATCCACACAAGGGCTTCTCAGACACGCACCGGCTGGCCTCTCTCTCTCAAACACACACACACACATTATCTGAACTTGAAGAAAAACCCTGTCTTTTAGTTCATACTATATCATACCTGCCGAAGTGCTTCACAAAAACTAGAATAGGTGATACTATCTTCTTTATCAGCCTTTAAAAAGGCAAACGCCCGAGTCTCTGCCAGAGCAGTCTTCAGCAACAGATACTGAAAATATAAATTTGTAATCAGCCACATAATACTGTCCTACAATCACTAAAATTGATAATATAGACTAGTTTAGAACTAGATGATATGACATTTTACTCCAATTAATGTTGCTAGGTTCATTCAACAACTTACTTGTATAATTGTTGCGATATGATTACTTGGAGATTCCATTTCATGATGAAATATTAAAGGTAACAATGGTCAGATTAACATAAGTCGATGTTGTGAATAAAGGTTTCTCAATGGCAGATAATGATGTGTCTATATGACCGACCTTTGTCTAAAGATATACATGTTGAAGGTGCTTGCAAGGATGGTGGGAAAAAATGATTAAGAAACTGAGAGCAGGTCTGAAGGCTTTTTGATTACCTTCAACATGCCAAATACTGCTTCACTCCAACTTGCCTTCAGAAGTTTGCGATATTTATCAGGATTTAGTAGCCATATAAAATCAACAGCACAAATATTGCCAAGGTGGTTTCGGTGGCTAACCCACTGCTTTAACAAGAGATTTTTAACCATAAATAAGGAGAAGCATATATTTCCCAACATACAACTCTGAGAGCAATTTTAGGGGGCGCACCTTGTGGGCATCTGCATCAGTGTACTGGTGAGCAGTGTCATATGATGATACGAAGCCTTGTGATCTCAGGAACTTGTAAACATGCCCACGTTTACTTCCATTCCAGTCACTGAGAAATCAAAAGTTGAACATAAAACATTAAGAGAAAACATATTCATCAATCCTTATAGTTTCATTGAATTTTGCTTTTAGTCTCTATAGTTTTTTTTCTAGTGCTTTCAATCTCTATAATTTCAGAAATATAAGGTGATATTTGTTTTTTGAGTTCATATAGTTTCAGTTTTTTTTTAAGTATTTTTAGTCCCTATAAAGACTGAAAATACTGGAAAAAAACTACAAGGACTAAAAATAAAATCCAATGAAACCATAGAGATCAAAAATTATGTTTTCCCCAAACATTAACAATGATTCAAGCATTTTTCCCAAAAGAAAAGGACAAAAATTAAACTATCCCTCAGGCAAGAAATAGGAGGAGGAGCACTACATTTGGAAATTTACCCGCATAAATGATCGGCATGGGCATAAGTTGGCGCTCTCTCTGATAAGATTCCACGTATTGAAGTATCTTGTAGACCTGCACAAAACTGAGATTTTTTAATATTTTTCCAAGTGAGCTGCCAAACATACTAATAAGCATACTGCTGAAATACCTGACGTAATCGAACTAGGCACAGACTTGAATCATGAGGAAATAGCAAGTGTGTGTTCACAAATAGAATTTCTTGCCCAATATCATTGTTACTGCATTGTGAAATTGGAAGAGCTAATTTAACATGTAACAACTGAGCTACACGATCGCCACAATCATTGAAAAGCAACTCCTTGTAATCAATGACAGTAAAGTATTCTTTTTGAACCGACATCAAAAGACCTGCAGATTCCAAAGGAAACATCAAATAAGCACCGCACAGTAAACTTCTTCCAGCAGTTGGGAAATGAAAATCCACTATGCATATTGCAAATAACATCATGAAAGCCTGTCCCATATTTAGCAATTTAATAGACTTGCATTCACAAGGATAGTAGGATACGAAAAAGGAACATCACGAAGTCACTCAATCTAAACGACTTTAATGATGTGTATACCGAATCCGTTCAACAGGCAGAAAATTAAAAATCTTAAGTTTAAGGATCGACTACAGGCGCTGACAGGATTGGCACATCAATATCCCATGGAAGCAAAGTCACTCATTTGCCGTGATGATCGATTATAAAATTTTCAGATATGTTATATTGTTATTATAGTCTTGTTTGTTTATAGAACGAAATCCAGGTTAAATATTATGTTTAAAAAACACACTGACAGAACTGATAATCCTAAACGGTAGTTTGAAATTAGGGGACAAAATGCTAACCATCACCGCGGTTGTTAGTCCGTCCAAGATTGAAACTAATATAACCAGCATCACCGAGTCTCTTCTCGTACAAATTCACAAGCTCCTGGTTTCCAACCCAAAACTCCTGCGCCAGGCCAACAGAATCAAATTCATTACCATAAACCCAACGAAAAATTCGACAAGATTCAGCACATTCAAAGAAGAACTTGCAAAACCTGAAGACATATAAGGGAAGATCTCTCGCACAGCAACCAATCCAATATCCTATGGTTCCTGGTCAACCAGTCCACTCTGTTATCGCTCTCGCGGCAACTCTGGTCCTGCTTTCCCCACCAAACCAGAAAGAAAACAAAATCATAAAAATTGTGACAATCCGTTTGAAGAATTCGTCAACGTAGTAAAGGGAAAATGGGCATTGCAATAAACCAAAAGGAGGAGGAAGAAATTAAATAACCTCATGGTCGAGGCGCTTGTATATGGGAGCGAGAATATTAAAGGTTGTGCAGGTAATACAAGGTTGTCGTTGGTTTTCCGTTATTGAAGAAGCGATTGCGTAACTGCCAATCCTTGAAATCTTTCCCATCTTCTCCTTGCTACTCCTTCCCTGCCTTATCATACGTCCAGGCTCACCAATAATGCCTCTATATATTCGCGCAATTCCTCACATACCGAACAACTCGAGGGAGAGAGCGAAAAAAACAAAAAAGTACCTTTAAAAAATTATTCCTTATCTCCCTTTTATTGTCTGAAAGGAAAGGACAGTTATTTGTGAAGGTAGGTTCTGGTTGAGACGAAGGGAAAGCGAATAGCCAGGATTCGAGGAATTTCTCAAGCTACGATGCGCACTGCGACATTGAACGAATAATTAAA